GAGAAGATACCCTAGTTCTCGGAAAGGTAACGTGCGAGATCGTAATTGGAAAGGCATCCGTGTTACACAATTTTATAGTGGCAGATATCGTTGACGAAGTCATAATTGGACTAGACTTTCTAGAGAATCAAGGAATCGATATTGACATGAAAAACAGGAATATGTCCTATGGAAATATGGAAGTGCCACTTATGTTCGGTTCCGATAATAAGTACAACGTTAGACGAGTGATAGCAACAGAGAGCCAGTTGAGCCCACAAAAGAGTCTACACCAAACTTACTTATAGGCAAAACCCTGGCTATGACAAGACAAGATAAACGTGTTTCGGTAAGAGTACTTAATGAGTGCAAGTTACTAATCAAACTCTCCAAAGGAGCTGTATTAGGGCGGTGTCAAGAGATTGAGACCGTGATAAATTGCGAAATAGGTCTTGAGAACGATTCCATGGACAAAAACGATATATCGAGTGAAATTATCACATGGACTGAGGAACTAGAGGCAAACCATCAAACTATGGCTAAACAACTTCTTCTCAGATACTCATCCATATTTGATAAAGACGATGCCAAACCAGGAAGCACCAAAGTTGTGAAACATTTTATTAACACAGGTGATGCAAAACCAATCCGCCAGGCTTCTCGAAGCGTTCCTTTAGCAAAACGTGAAATTGTAAGCCACACCATACGTGAAATGAGCGAAAGCGGCGTAATCGAACCATCAGAGAGTCCGTGGAGCTCACCTGTAGTACTTGTGAAGAAGAAAGATGGCACCATGAGATTTTTTGTGAACTATAGAAGGTTGAATGATGTAACGAAGAAAGACAGTTATCCACTACCTAGAATCGATGATACACTGCACTCGTTAACAGGCACAAAATGGTTCTCAACAATTGATTTGAAAAGTGGTTATTGGCAAGTGGAGGTAAACGAAGAAGACAAAGAAAAGACGGCTTTCAGCGTTGGAGATGGTCTATGGCAATTTACCGTAATACCCTTTGGATTATGTAACGCTCCTGGTACTTTTGAGAGACTTATGAACCAGGTACTCAAAGGATTACACTGGAAGACCTGTTTGGTATACCTCGACGATATCGTCGTGCTGGGTAAAAGCTTCGATGAACACCTTAAGAACTTGGAAGAGGTTTTCCAACGGATAGCTAGCGCTGGTCTGAAGCTGAGTCCAAAGAAGTGTTCCCTTTTCAAAAAGGAAGTAAGCTACTTAGGACACAAAGTGACAACGGAGGGCATTTGCAAAGCGAATGAAAAGATGGAAGCAGTAAGAGATAGGCCCGCTCCTAAAAATTAAGATGAATTGCGGAGTTTCCTTGGACTGTGTACTTATTATAGACGATTCGTTCCAAATTTTGCCAGCGTAGCTAGTAGCCTCCATGAACTCACGAAAAAGAACAGAGTTTTTAAATGGAATAAAGAACAGGAAGTGGCTTTCCAAACTTTGAAGAAACGGTTAAGTACTGCGCCAATGTTAGCATACCCGGTCCCAGGATCAACGTTTATTTTGGATACGGATGCTAGTGGATTTGCAGTAGGAGGCGTTCTATCACAAGAAATAGTAGTCATGGAAATGCTGATGCCATGTCCCGCCGTCCCTGTAATCTGGAATGCAGACATTGCTCAAAAGCTGAGGCTAAAGAAGACATTATAGATGTCCGATAGATGTCAGACACTTATTGGGCACAATGGAATAGTTTGAAGTTAGTGTCTGGCTGCTTGCATAGCGTATGGGAAAGCGAAAATGGGTAAAGTTCACAAGCTCTGATGATTGTTCCAAAAGTAAGAATTTCTGAAGTTCTCAACGAGCTGCACAACGGTCCAAGTGGAGCACACATGGGTATCAATAAAACCTTGGAGAAATTAAAACAAAGATTTTATTGGGTTGGTTGTCGTCAATCAGTTACGGAGTGGATCGCCAATTGTATCGAGTGCATTGCTGCTAAAGGGCCGCGGCCCAGAAGTCATGATCAGATAAAGCAGTACAATTCAGGTGCATCGTTTGAGCGAGTAGCCATGGATGTAGCTGGTCCATTTCCTATCAGTAAATTAGGAAACAGATATGTTTTGGTAGTCATGGACTATTTCAGCAAATGGCCAGAGGTATACGCAATTCCTAACCAAGAGGCAGGAACAGTAGCGGATATATTCATCAACAATTGGGTATCGAGATATGGTGTTCCAATAGAATTACATTCTGACCAAGGGAGAAATTTTGAATCAGCTCTATTACAGGAGATATGCCAGAAGCTGGGTATCCGGAAAACCCGTATAACTGCACTACATCCGCAGTCCGATGGCATGGTAGAACGATTCAATCGAACTTTCGAAGAACATTTGAGGAAAGTTGTGGCCAAGTATCAAAAAGATTAGGATACCCATATATCCTTGTTAGTGATGGCTTATCGGTCTGCTGTACATGAAACAACGGGGCAGACTCCAGCAAGGGTAATTTTTGGTAATGATCTTCGACTACCGATTGATTTAAAATTTGGAATAACCGCCAACGGAGGAAGGAATACTTAGGAATTCAATAGCATCCTAGAAGACGAGATGAGGGATATACATGCTATGGTGAGACAGCGCACCAAAATTATGAGCGATAAGATGAAAGCAAAATACGACAAGGCAATAAACTCTGAGGGTTTTATTGAAGGCGATTGGGTATTGTTATATAACCCACAACGAAAGAAAGGGTTATCTCCCAAATTACAGTGTAATTGGGAAGGACCATACCAGGTTATTAAACGACTCAATGATGTAGTGTAGCGCATACAGACCATTAGAAGACCAAGGAATAAAATGAAGGTGGTTCATCTGGAACGGCTTGCAGCGTTTGGTACCGCAAATATGTCTAATCGGGACGATCAGACTTAGGTAGAGGGCAGTGTGGCGAACACAAATACCAGAACAAATCAGAATCGACGATCAACTGCCAGAAGCAACTAGCCAGCGAATTCGTAGTTGCCAGAATGTTCTAGTAGCGAACTTTTGTTAAAAATTTACTATATAAGTTCTGCTGAATTGTGCAGCAGGGACAGTTCTAATTAGAGTGTTGCCGTGTAAAGAGCAATTAAGCTATAAGCAATAAGTTGTAAACTCGAATATCGAACAATAAGTGTTAAGTTGTTGGCATTAGAAATAAAGATAAGTGTATAGCATTAAATTGGGACTTTAATTTAACAATCCAGTGATCGAGCTCAAGAGTGAGTTATAGTTAGACGATTTATCGTTAAATCCGTTACAATATTTTGCTAGCCCCAAATGTCAGTTGACAATTTGTTTACATTCTATAATTGGCCTAAACGTACCCTACAAGAAACTGCTGTTGGGTTCACCAATACACTCACATTTGATATGTCAGTACTGTTAATTTACATATGCATTTTTAAATTCAGAACTATCCACTTATTCTGGAGTTTTTCAGGGTGCTGGGAGTTTGGGAATGCATGTGATGGAGGAGAGGGCACAATAGACCCTAGGTCGCAGTGCATACCTCATTTGCAAATCTAATCTAATCCACTGATTGGAGAAAGATGTACGCAAAGCTATTGAGAGGAGGAGATGGCATCAAGTGAAAGTTTATTTTTATATTTTCATATTTTATTATATTTTTTGTTGCATTTTTTTTATATTTAAGTATATTGTTATAACTAATTTTGATAACGCAGAGCTATTGAAAGGAGAAGATGGCACCAAGTGACAATTTATTTTTATATTTTCATATTTTATTATATTTTTTGTTGCATTCCTTTAAATATTTAGGTATATTATTATAAATAATTTTGATTAAAAGTTTAAAATTTATTAAAAAAATAAAAATGATTTATCTACTGCGCAAAAGAATTTTTCACTTCTGATATCGTTTCAGTCATAACTGACAATTTTCAGCTATGACGGATTTATGGGCAGCAATGACTCAGAAAAAACAAAACAAACAAACAAAAAGTAAACAAGGATCTTAAGAAAATGATAGAAACTGTGTTCTGCGCGCTGACAAATTTTTGCAGCTATAACTGTCATATTACCCATCAGATGACCGTCACTGTTCTTGTAGGGTACATAACAAATGTAAACAAATATATGTGTGAACTGTCAATGAAAACTCATCGAAAACACACTTTGGTTCCACAATCCACAAATTGTGTTTACAAGAGGATTTCAATTCGGTGCGAACATAGTATAAATCTATGTTCTTTTTGCTTCCGCTTTCGATAATAGCTATTGTAACCATGGTTGCCCGTTGGGCGAAATGTACCAATTTATGTACTTATTTTTTACTGGACGGGTAAAATTTAGCTAACTGGTTACCGATAGGTTATCAGTAATTAATGCATTAGTTTTCGGATAGGTTATTTTTGTTCTAGCCTCTCCTCTTTCACTCCACGTTGGTATGATTATCTTACTCGCTCCCTCTTATTGTTTTTGAGTAAATTCTACATACATATGTTTTACTGTTCTAATTTCCTAACTAATTTTGAAAACTATCTGTTACTCTTTGGTTAACAGCGTCCTTTTTATTGCCTATTTGTTTGGTTAGTCATCTGTTACAGAAAACAGTTCGTTCGGTTATTGCTATGGTTACGGTTACCTATAATTTACAGAAAACTGGTTCATAGGTTATTTGATTGGTTAGCCATTTCCTTCAGAAAACTGGTTCATCGGTTACCTCATCAGCTTCTATAGGTTATTGGGTTGGTAATTCACCTTATAAATAAAATAATTCAGATTCTCATTTAAGTTTTTTTTTTTAATTTTATACATTTTATACATTATGGTTTTATTTTTCCTTTCTATTCTTATAAACTTTTAGTAATTATTTTAGTTAAGTTTTGAATTACTAGCATTTATATATATGTACATGTATATATTTTTATACATTACAGACAAAATTTTCTTTCTTACAAAATTTTTAAAAATGTTTAGTAATTATTTTAGATAATATTTCAAATATTAACATTTATACTTTTATATGTACATTACAAACTAAATTTTCCTTCTTACAATTATTTATTTTGGCTAACATTTATATTATATATAGACTACATTATCACTATTTCTTTGTAAAAACGTTTGATATGGTTTAATTTACAGTTTATAATAATAGTTACATTAATTTACTAATTGTTAGTATTAATATTTTCAATAAAGTAATTTAGTGCTTAATACTAATAGGTAACTTAAATTTTATCATTCAAAAATAAAATGGTCCAGCTTAAGAATTTTGATGGAAAATTTGCAAATATCTAAAATTAATAAAAAAAAAATAAAAATTATTTTTTTTCGTATATGTTAAAGGAAAGTATCCACATTATATTTTAAAAATAAATGCATGCAAGTTTGTACATAGTTCATATAAAAAGTTGAAGTCAACAATATTTAACATGCTACTTAATATAGATATGTTATCTACGGAGGTTACCTTGGCTACAGGTTAAGAAAGGTCAAAATTTGTACTGAAATTTTAAGCCAGAATCTTTTGTTTACTTCCTGTAACATTTGGTTTGGTTACTTTAACATTGTTTTGGTAACCATACAAATGATTAACATGGATAACCTATGTTAAGCTAACCAAACAAAATGTTAAATTCTCAGCTGATGACATTTTCTAACCACACAAAAGATTTTAGGTTAATATGAAGAATGTTTTCACTTTCAATTTTGTATAGAAATAAACCAGAAGAAAAAACTTTTAATAAAAATTCAAATAAATAAAGTATATATACATATTCAACATAGAAATATACAATATTGGCCAGTTATGATTTAATTATTCATACTTATATATTATTGTAATGGCGATATATGGCCTCTGTTATGTAACTATAACCTCCAGAATAGTTATATAATTTACTTACTTTTATTCAGTAAGCTGTCATTACCTTACAGTTTACGTACAAGCCGTAGAACTTCAGCCCAGCATTCGTTTCCTTCTCAACCGATTTACGCACAGCCTCAATGTCGAACACCTCGAATATTTAAATTCGATACTCAGCGACCACGGCGAGATGCGTGTTAGGTTGAAATCGGACATATAAATAGTCGTATTGACCGTTACCTCCCGCAAGGTGGTGTAATGCAAACGACTCATCATATTCTTAGCCTTTTCGGCGTCCCGCGATGCACCACCAGTAAGAAATACTGTTAGAGAGTTCTTGGTTTCTTGGAGATACTAATGCATTCCTTTAGACGACGCACACCCAACGGTTTGTTATTTGGCGACACATCAATAATGGGAAGTTTTGAGTGCCATTTTAAAAACACTTAAAAAATACACAAAGTAAAGGAATAAGTAGTTAATTTAAGCATTGCACTGCCATGCCTACCTGGACATGCGCTTATTGATGTGGAATATCTTTCGCATAATAGCTCACCAAACATTGAAACAACAGTGCGACGTTCTCATAGGCCGATTTTGAAAGATGATCATTGTCACCACGACGACACATACATGCAAGGTAATACAACCTAGAGGAGGAAAGACAATGTAAGTTATTGTTCTTTCCAACCTTAAAAATAAGGCAACCAACCTTGGAATCACAATTGGAAAATATCTCACAATTTTTCTATGCGAATTAATACTAGCATACATCTGATTTAAACACCCTTTGCGCACATTTTTCACATCATTTTCACTTATCGAGTTGATACACAAAAACACCTATCACCATGTACATACCTGTTTTGCCTGCAATTTCAGCACGATTTAAATTAGTTGAATTCAACTTCAATCCAAAAACATAAAGAGATTCATAATATATTATTATATAATATAGAAGATATTCTGTTATAAAAATTTTAACATAACTATACTTACCAAATTGGATCCTCTTTGTAAAATTATTACGCTTTATACCCAATGGGCTTCGTTTGTTGGTTTACTGTTGTGAAAAGAGGTTAGTTTAATAAACATTTATGAAAATTAACAATTAAGGAAAATTGACAACTTACCTGACGCTCTTCAAATTGGTTTTCAAATGCAGATTCAATGACGGAAATTTTTGACAGATTAATTGTTTATTCATTCCAAGGTAAGTTGCCTCATTTTCTGGTTTAAAGTTGGAATGACCAATTACTTACATTTTCTTGCCTCCTCTAGGTTGTATAGCCTTGCAAGCGCAAGATTTGGAATGTGCTAAGGATTTTTCACATCAATAGGCGCATGTTCACAATCGCGCAAAGTTTGGGTGAACGTGCTACACAGTTAAGTGTGGCTGTGTAATGCTTAAATTAAATAGCACACCACCTTCCGGAAGGTAACGGTCATTACGACTATTTATACGAAGAGGACTATCATCTCTGAGGATCATGATAGTAGACATTTCAATTTAAATATTCAAAGTGTTCGACATTGAGGCTGTGCGTAAATCGGTTGACAAGGAAATGAATGCTGTGCTGAAGTTCTACGGCTTGTAGGTAAACTGTAAGGTAATGAAATTTTGCTGAGGACAAGTATGTTAATTATATAGTATAATTATTCTAGATGTTATGTATAATATCGGCATTATAGTAGCATATAGCTATGCGTTATTCAATCATAACTGGCCAATATTGTATGTTGAATATGTTTGTATATATACTTTAATTATTGGAATTGGAAGATTTCTTTATATTAACCTAACATCTTTTGTGTGGTTAGAAAATGTCATCAGCTGAGAATTTAACACTTTGTTTGGTTCCCAAAACAATGTTAAGGTTACCAAACAATATGTTGCGGGAAATAAACGAAAGTTTCTATGTTAAAATTTCAGTACAATTTTTGATTTGTCTTAACGTATAGCCAAGCTAACCTTAGATAACATATCTAAGTATGTTAAGTAGCATGTTAAATATTATAGCCCTTAACTTTTTATATGAATTGTTTATAAACTTCCATGCATTTATTTTTAAAATATAATGTGGATACTTTCCTTTAACAAATACAAACGAAAATAATTTTTAATTCTTTTTTATTTATTTAAGATATTTGCAAATTTCGATGGAAAGTTCTCAAGCTGGACTTCAATATCACTATTTTTGTTTCTAAATTATAACATTTAAGCTACCTATTAGTATTAAGTACTAAATTAACTAATTTAAAATATTACTGTTTAATTAGAGTACATGCACATATGTACCTAATGTGTGAATATTAACAATTCGTAAATTAATGTAACTATAAAATTTTAACAATCAATATTCACTATCTACAGGGTGTCTCACGAGTCGTGCTACAAAACAAACCGTAATAACTTTTTTTCTGTGTCCGTAATCGACTAACTTGTTTTATTTGGCAGGTTATTATTTAAGTTTTTTAAAAATGTATGCCTGGGATACCGAAAAAAGGGATAGGCAGCGGTAGCATGCTTTGCAGTCCGTCATTTCCGTCCAAATGAAATTCAAATGGGAATTTGGCGGCACTCCCCCGAGTAAATGGACCATCGAGTTCCGTATTTTCGTGTTCAAGAAGCACGCTGTTGCATCGTCAATTTAGGCAAATCCAAGAGCTTCTACTCGCAACTTGGAGTTAGCAGACGGTATTACAAGGGATAATTCATGATGAATTAAACCTGTTTCCGTTCAAATAACAAGCTGGTTAAACCCTCTAGATTTGGCTATTCGCCTGGAATTTTTCATAAAAATGATTGAAATGGCCGAAGAACACAATAACTTGATAAATTGATTGTTTATGTCTGTAAATAAGCAAAATTGCCATATATGAAGTGAATCAAATCCAGAAATAATTCACGAGACGGAACTTCACCCCGAACGAGTCACTGTGTGGTGCGCAGTTTCATCAAGGTGTATTGTCGGGCTATACTGCTTTGAAGAAAACGGTCTAACAGTAACTGTCAATAGGCACAATTATTGTAAGACGTTGAACTGCGCCGAAGACAAAGACAACTGCACAAATAGCTAGACTGGTTATTGCGGACACCAACAATTTTTGAAAACAAATTAATGTTGTGACAAATACGGATGATAGAACAAAATCGAATCGACGAAAAATTGCCTAAAGCAACTAGACAACGAATTCCTAGTTGCCAAAATGTTCTAGTGGCGAACTTTTGTTAAAAATCTATAGGGCTGCCGAATTGTGCAGAAGACACAGTTCTAGTTGTAGTGTTGCCGTGTAAAGAGCAATTAAGATATAAGTAAAAAGTTGTGAATTCGGATAATGAGTAGCAAAGCGTTAAGTTGTTTGGATAAGAAATAAAGATAAGTGTATAGCCATTAAATTGGGAATTTTATTAAACAATCCAGTGATCGAACTCAAGAGTGAGTTACAAGGTAGGCGATTTATCGATAAATCCGTTACAATTGGTGCCAGAAGTAGGATTGTCAAATAAATTCCCAAAAAGAGAGTTGGCAAAGTTTAACGATCTGAAGATTCCTCAACTGAAAAAGTAGCTGTAAAAACGTGGTTTAGCAACAAATGGAGTAAAGTCCGAATTACAATTACGATTACGAGAGACCATAAAAGCAGGAAACGTGAATGTTGGGGAATATGTTTTTCAATTCGAATTAGAGGAAGAGATAACGAAGATCGAAGAAAATTCAGAGACTGAATGCTCATCAAAAACTATGGAGATAAACATGATTTTGGCTGCAATGTAGCAGATGCTAACGCAGACGTTAACACAACGCAAATATCGACACAGTTTAAAGAGAAGAGGTGTCATCACAAATATCGACACAACAATCTCAATTGTCCTCGTTAGAAACGCGATTGTCAACGCAGTTGAAAGAGCTGGACGTGCATATGTCAGCGCAGGTGTCCTCACAGTTGGAAGAGCAGGAAGCGTGTGTACCAATATAAGGGTCCTCACAGTCAGTAGAGCAGGAAGCGTGTGAGCCAATAAAATGGTCCTCACAGTCAGTAGAGCAAGAAGCTTGTGTACCAGTAAGAGGGTCCTGATAGTCAAAAGAGCAAGAAGCTTGTATACCAGCACAAGTGTCCTCACAGTCGGAAGAGCAGAAAGCGTGAATATCAGTACAAGGGTCCTCACTGTCGAAAGAGCTGGACCTGCGTTTCTTAGCGCTAGTGTCCTCACAGTTGGATGATCAGGAAGCTTGTATACCTGCACAGGAGGAAGAGCAGGATAAAATTAAAGCTGAAACGGATGAATGTTTGCAAAAAGATACAGCATTGCAAGGTCTAATGCATGAAATGAAGTTAAACAAATGTACAACGAGTGGATAAATAACTACAGAAAGGCAAAAGCAAATTGGGCAGAGCGGAGCATTTTAAAGTTGATCTGCGGCTGCTTGCATCGATTATGAAAAAGCGAAGATGGGCAAACCTTATAGTTGTTCTGAAAGTTAGAATTCCTGAAGTTCTTAACGTGCAGTACAAAGGTCCAAGTGGAGGGAACTTGAGAATCACGATAACCTTGAAGAAATTAAAACAACGATTTTATTATTCCACCAACACAAGATGAATTAGTAATGTTTTGGTAGACAAAGACCACTTGATAATGAATTATAGTTTCAAGATCACGGCGTCAAGGAAACAACTTAAAATTCTTAAAAGTTTTGCACTATATAATGAATTTAATGGAAATATGGAATGATAAGAAACAGATGAGTGAGAAAGGCTTTATACAAATCAGTTGAAGCGTATATTCAAATACCTTTTTTTTTTGATTTTTTCAACTTTAATTTATCTGTTCAAAGATATACAGACATTTAGTTTGTTTCTTAACTGCTAACTATCACTTCCTACCAAAGTTTCTGCTGCAAGAGCGCATCCTTACCCAAAAATCTAGCAGAAGCTCCAGTTGAGAGCTTAAAAAGTTGAGAGAGCTGCTAGTGAAATTTAGCCGCTAGCAGAAATAGCTACTGCCATATTGGAGAAACAGCTGTTAAAGCACATGTGTATACAAGCAATATTTGACGCATTTGGTTTAATTTTGTTTATTTTCGTTTTTTTGAATTGTGATAATAAAAATTCATTACACGTGTGTCACTTATATACTTACTTGCATTTAAAATATGGCAGAACACGGGATGTAGGAATGTATGTGAAAGTGAATGAAATGACGGATATCGAACCACCTGTTCATGGGTGAGAGTGAATAGAGACCCCGTCCCTGTCGGATGAATCCGTTTGATAGTTTGGGTGGTGAATATGAGTGGGTGGGATCGATGGTGCGGTTGCTGTGTTGCTGGGTATGCTGTGTGTATTATGTGCTGCGCGAATAATATACGATGCCTAGTGAGATGAAGGTTGTGCACCTCTTCAGGGCGTGAGAGAGATGGCAAAAGCTTCATCGCAGAGCCTTCTTATCTCTCAAATAGTTGCTCTTTGCCCGTCTCTCTAGCTGCTGGTACCCTTTGCGTCCTCGCAGCGGTGACGGGTGCAACTGATGCTCTAGGTAGAGCAATCACGATCATCACAGCCTTAGGCGAACTGTGGCCTTCCTCTATGTGACAAACCTAAACTAAACTTTAATTGTCGAATTTTATCCGCGAAATGTTTCTCTTACTCTAAACGAATTATAGTGGATAATGCATCATCCAGTTCCTGAGCGACTGTGACCAACAATCGAGTGATACTACTGAACCGTTCAGTTTACAAAATAGTATGTCCTTTTGGATGGCGAGTATATAACGAGTACAATAAATTTGCTTAGATATTGGTTTTCGGCGAGTAAGACATCCACCAAAAGGAATGTACTAATAGCTCGGTGGGTTTGATGCCTCTACAGACACAATGAGCCAAGGTCTGTGATGCCAACGGGCGGGGGATGTCAGCTCCTGTACTCTACGAACCCAATTTGATATTAATGGTTTAAGTGTTGCTGAATCCTTCTTCAGCCAACACAATACGATCGCTGAGTCCGACCCCAGCTAGTAGGGAACGTCAACTAATCCCAAAAAATCCTACACTTCTGGAATATCTCGGCAAAAAGTAGCGCGAGGTCTTCGCGTAAATAACCGCTGCATCAGTGTGTGAGCTAGCATCGCAGAACCCGTGAAATTACTAATACTGTGACCAATACTTAACCCTTCGCAGAAAAGATTGTCAGGCAATGGTGAGTCCAAGGATAGACCCGGAGACTACAGTCGCTGAACCAATATTTTCCCATTTACGATGACAGGTGATAACAATCCAGTAGGATCGAAGGGTCGTGCCACCTCGCTGAGTACACGACGCTTCGTTGCAATCTCTTCCCTTTGACATAGATCGTCGCGAATAACTGATCGTTCAGTGCGTCCCATAGAAAGAGACGACCCGTCAGATAAACTGTCCCGCAGATAAGATGGCAGACACGTTTTTAGCCAGCTCCACTGCATCGATAACGCTTTTACAACTTGTTAAGAAGTCGTCAACATAAAAAGAAGTTAATATCGCAGTTCAAGCGCGAGTCGCTTGTTGTATGTTGGAATTATCATAAGCACATTGTTGTAGGGTTCGTACCCCATTGTAAGGACTGCATGTCATGCCATATGTGATGTTAATGGAATGTAGTAGCAATTGGTATGATCGTAAGGTGGTTGTACTAGTTCCCTAATCCCAGTGGGTAAGAGTCACCTTGTTCCGTTGCCTTTCGTCGCAAGAGTAAGTGTACGATATAACGGTCGTCTGAGTTACGGCTATGAATGGTCTCGAAGATCTGTCCACAGTCGTTCTCTTCCAGATCGTCAATCACTGCTATTTCCTTCAATTGACAAAAGTTGGACATCAGTTCCTCCAACCGGTGGTCCTCCCTCTTATTCGTCTGGTCCTCCATCGATGACTTCACCTTCTTTTGGGGTCCGCGCCGATAAGAACGTCGATAGTTCCAGGCATACCGAACCGGTCGTCCGCCACATCTATGCCTCTTAAATATGGCCATTGGTTGATGACAATCTTCACTGCTGGAGTCGGAGAAGTAAGAGAGGATAAATCAACAGCATCAATTCGCATTAGGGATAGGGAAGTCGGCTCTGTCTTTAGTCAAGAATCAATCTTTTGATACAAAGAATTGAATTTTTAGAATCGAGTTGAGTCTGTCTTGAATCGATTAGAATCAAGTCTTACTCGATGACTACGACTTTTATTTTACAGTTTAGTATCTGATGGTAAGGCAATTTGTAACATAGTTTTGTATAGCTACTCGCAGATTGGTATATTACATTATTATGTGTGTATTGTCGCCGTTATTCTTGACAACCATTTCAAATAAAATAACACACTTAAGTATAATCCGTGCAATTATTGCTTGATTAACTTAATGAACTATTAAACAGTTTATAATATATTGTCGAAAATTTTATTACATTGAATAATTATTTTATCATGTCTCCTAGTTTTATATGGGCCACTGTACAAAAATAAACAATGGCAGTAAAAGAGCAATTCATGTAATAAAAAGTTTTTGTTTATTAAAAGCACATCAGCTGAAACATTTACAATGTGCTCATAAGATTGCTTCGCCGTCAAGTCAAGAGCACCAAACCCGTAAAAGATTAATCAACGGCCATGGTTAATTTAGAGATTCAGCCTAAAAAGGTAAGGGCCCTTAAAGAACTTTATTAAGTTTCTACATAAACTATTCCTTTCTACGTAAATTTTCGTTTTTTTTTTATATTTATATTAATTCAATCACGTTTATGTTTAGGCCTTAGTCGCTCTTGAATCATCTGTTCCATCGGTAGCTTTAGTAATTAGAACTACATCATCTGTTCAAGAATCTAGTAATCAAGATTTCTCTAGTAAAATAAAAGTTTAACTGCAACAGACTGAGTCTGTGTGTCTAACTACTGATATCAGGAGTCACCAGTACCAAGGATGACATGATGCTCTCATCATAAAATCATGATATTTTATTATGACTTGTGTTGTTTCTTTGGCTTAGTTTTTTTTATTTACATATTATTTTATTATGTTTTATGATTCCTAAAAATTGTATAAAATGAATAGACGTATTTAGGGATGTATATGCGTGATATAGGCCGACTCGGGAACTGAGCACCTAAAAATAATATCGAAATGCAAAATACCCAATCCAATTTCTTTCGACAGTGGCATGAATCAAAGAGTTTGCTATCATGTTATCCTTGCCAGTACACAATGAAAAGCTGTCAGGGATAATGGGATGCCCAACTCTTTCCAGTGTGAGAGCGCCTCAAAATTAGCGTTTTTTGTAACATTTACCATTGTAGCTAGATCGGACAAAATACTATTTTTTGGGAATTTATTTATTATTTAAACCCTTTTATGTGATTTTGTGATATATTAAAACGATTGATATTTGAACTTTTAATACCTAATCAAAATAATAAATGTATTAGCTCTCAATTAATAAATGTTTTTTATAATTTTCAATTGAAAATTAGTACTACTAAGCATGGCATCACAAAAGATTTCGTCATATACATTTCAATTTCGCGTTTTCTTTCATTTTCTTTGTATTCCAATTTTTATTAGTAATCTTCAACGGCAGCAACAAACCTCTCTGTTCACATGTTTTTATGTAGGATTTCAATCTGGCCGTTCCTCTTTTTCCAGTTGCTAAACGTCAGACCTCTTGAACTTTGACAGTTGCCTGAGTTCAGGAGGTTTTGACGTTTAGCAATTGCGCCCTGATTTCCAGTAAGAGCTGAGTTGGTCATCTCTTGATCTCTGAAGCTGCCTTGGCTAAACAGTTCGCTATCTAAAGGTAAGCTTTTTATATTCTCAAAAATCATTAAATTTAGTTTTCACTTTATTGGCTTATTAACGTTATATATAATATTAGATAATATTAGGAACTGGGATAAAGACTGTTGAGCTAGGGCTTATCACATGGTAGAAAGGAAAACGATTGAAAATTTGACTATAAAATAAAAAAGGATTTGTGATGACTGGGGTCTTCATGATGATAAAATGTTAGTATTCACAATCACGGGCGAGGAAATTGATGCATGGATAGAAGTTCGTGACATCTTGAAACCTCTTTTGTGAGTAACACAGGAAGTTTGTTATGAAAAATTTGTATCATTAAGCAAGACAATTAAATTGTCTCAAGAAATCGAAACAAAGTACGGTAATATTGAATCTGTTAAGCTATACGCTTGTGCAACTTTAGTAGATCCTCCATATAAAAAGTTCGAATTTCAAAGTATTCGGGATTCTGCTCGAGCGATAACCAATATTGGTATGTTTATTATTTAAACGTTATTTAATTAATATAAAGTTTAGTTTAATATTATTGTATTTTTTAGTGTAGCTAAGCTTGTTAAAACTGAGCGAAAATTAGCATTGGCGACAATAGCAACTACGGCAAATACTGACCTGAGAATCTCAGAAACCAAACTATAATGATGATTACATATAGTCCTATATTGATAACGCCGTGAGTTGCAGTTATAATCATGTTTATTCTGATGAAGCCGGAGGACTGCCGATACAGTTGCGTCAATATTTGACACGACCTGCTGCAAATCGGAAACAAAACCCTAACCCCTTGATTTTGTGGGAAACGGGATAGCTAACGGCTCAGTATACAGCTCCTTTACTGATTCCAAAAGTGCATCATGTGGCCCCATCTCGGAAGACGTAGGTCCTCCAACCAAATGGTTATGGTTCTCTATGAAGCGCTCAAAATGTGATTTAAGCGACTTCAGGTCGTGAAAACACCAGACCTTCCATGGCACCTTCTGAGACTCATGCATGTAAGTATGTGCTTTATTGCTTTCTCCGCCGATAAACGCCAATTGAGCTTCGCCATGAAACCACACAACCACAAAAAATTATAAAATATTTGTGCTCATAGAAGGCACCAAAATGTTAAATAATTAATTTACCAGCGGGTAGAGTTCTCAAGACTTTATTGGGATTTGTACGAATATGAACGGTGAGCCAGAGACGAGTACAATCAGCACAGTGTTACAATCAGAGAAGAGATTTATAGGAGTTCAACGGAATTAAAAATACCGTAACTTTAAATATGAATAAAGAAATTAATGATAAAAGAGAGGTGACAAATATAAAACTTAGATAAAATAGTATTGCCAGATCAGAGTTGACATTATTAGAAAATAAACTTAAACTAATGTAAATAATCCTAAACAATGGAGAATTTTAATTTTTTCTCATCGGTTTATTAACGAGAGTGTTTATCCTACTGTCTCAGGTATGGTAAGAAATGGAGCTCCTCTTACGAACTGTCCAGGTGTAAGATCAGTGAAATCAGAGGGATCTTGCGATAGTGGTGAGATAGGTCGTGAATTTAGTACGGCTTATATACCAGCAAGTAGTGTGGTAAACTCCTCATAATTGAACTTATGATTACCTGCCGTTTTCTTTAAATGTAGCTTAAAGCTATTTACTGCTGATTTTCAGAGTCCCCCATGTGGGGAAAATATGGAGGTATAAATGGCCAATCGATCACATTGTCACATAATTTTTGATGGAAATCCGTGTCGACCGATAAAACTCCCAAATGCTGCACCGACAGCCACATTCCATTTGCCGCATCAAGCTATGCTCATCATATAATGTAAGTTGGTTAACCAGGTCGGACCGTTTCACCAGAATGTGGTGAATGTTTTTAGAGGCAATCATAGAAGCCATGCAATTTTACATTATGGTTAGGGACGAAACTTACCCATCGAGGAATTTGAATTTCTGATATGGTATATAAATCGTTGAATCCATTTGGTTAAAAGTACATGTAGGTTTTACTTGCTCATCCCATTCAGTGCCATCTTGCCACAGTTCTTGAATGAGGATTTTTGTTTGAATCATTATTGACGAAAGAAATCCTGCGGGGTCGAAAAGTCTTGCCACCGAGGAAAGTATTGGGCGTTTGGTTATGGCGGACCTTGCAGATATTGGCTCGATTGTTTGTTGTTGAACTACTGGCCTGTCCAGTTTGCATTTAATATTGTAAGTCTTCCATTTTTATGTTTTTCATTATCTCGAAGTAGTTTTTAGGGGAAATCCGGCTGAATTTAGTGGTTTGATCACTCGAGGTAGTGATTCGCACGTTAATGAGAGACCACCCGATAGAATATCGTCAACGTATATTTGCGTTTGTAGCACAGAAGTTGCTAAAGGCTAATTTGTTTCATAGGCCACTTCCGGCAATGTCCTAACGACTAAATAGGGTCGGTGATTGGACTATTGATTGATTTACGGAAGTCTATACTTTGGAAATCTTGGTCATATTTATGTACTAAAATTTGTGAATAATTTTTTTCCACCTCCGCATTAAAAACAAATTTAAAATTGCACAAATTTAATGGAAAATAAAAAGATAAATATCTACATTAGATATTTTTTCATATGATACAGCTTCTTCTTTATGATTGAGGTTAAGATATCCATCACATTATCATATGCTGATTTAAGAACGCTTTTCTTTTACATGTCTGGTCTTCTTCTGAAGGTTGTGTGATCTGAGAATATTCTTCTACTTCCCAGAATTTTTTGAGTTGATTATTTAAATATTCGTTCGAAATATGATATATATATTTGAGGTGTTAATTCACTGCCTAATAATATATCAATTTGTTATGGGACATGGCAGTTGGGATCTGCTAATTTGAGATATGGGCATTTTTCCCACAGTTTTTAATTTACTTCATAGGTTGGAAGCAAATCTGTGAGATGCGATAGAACAATGGCTTGTGCATGTATTCCTATAATCGAATTTGGAGAGACTATGGTGATTAGGCAAATTTTATTTGAATTTTGTATAACTCTTTCACCTATTCCCTAAATTTGAAAATTGGAATTTTCGACAGGCAGTTTTAACCCACTTTGAGCTTTCAGAGCTTTGTTGTGATGTTACTGAATTTATTTGATTCATTCTTCATAGCGCATCAGCCACTACATTACCCTACCTTGGTTTGTAAGTTAGTTTGTGATCGTATTCTTCTAAGTAAGATTTCCATCTCTTGACTCTACCGTTCCTATTCTAATTACTAAGAGAGTGTGTTAGGAGTTCATGGTTTGTATAAATTTTGACTTTTGCTTTGCCATAAAGGTAGTTTCTGATTTTTTTAAATACCATATTATTGCCTGCATCTGAAAGGCTTCCTGGATGAATGTGTATCGGTTTATTATTTCATTCCTATAGCGTCTGTGGTAAACTGGATTTATTATTATACAAACTTGTAATTTTTTTGCGGATTCCCTTTTAGACACGCGTCCATCTTCTCCTCTTAAAAGTGAGCTAAGTTGATTTGCCACCTTAGCGAAATCTTTAATGAAACGCCCATAATAGCTGAATAGGCCAAGAAATGCCCGCAGTTTTTTTAATGTCTTTGGTTGAAGGTAATTGGCTTGTTTCAATGCCTTTGTCGTTGATAACGAATTCTAAGAATTCTACCTTTAATTTGAAGAATTCACTTGTGTCAATTGACAAATTTTTCGTGTGCGACTAACTATCCTTGCTAAAGATGAGTATGTCGTTGATATTTACATACATATGTAATATATTTTATGATGATGAGTATGTCGTTGATATTTACATACATATGTAACATATTTTACCAATATGTTCATGAATGAATATTGAAGCCGTATTTTTTAGTTCGAACGAGAATCGTAAGAACTCATATTTCCTCAAATTAATGGAGAAGGCTGTTTTTTCTACATCGGAATCTTTGAGTGGGTTGTAGTGAAACCCGCTTTTGAGGTATAGGACCGAAAATATTTTATTATTTCCCAGTTGAGCTAAAACTTCGTTTATATCCGGTATTGTATATATCTGCGATAGGTACAAGATTCAGTTTTCTACAATAAAATCGATGAACATGCGATACTTTTTCTTTCCTGAAGCATCTAGTTTTTTTTGGCCTAATCCACACTGGTGAATTGTACGGTGAGCGGGATGGGCGGATTATTCCGTCATCCAATAACTCTTTGATTTGTTTGCTGACATCATCCCTGAATCTCTATTTGTTATAATCTCTGCATTAACATTCATGGTATAAGTTAAATTTTCATCTGCAGTAGCAAAATGAGTTGGCAATTTTTTTTTACTAATTTGTCCAAGTCATTTCTTTGTGCGTCTGTTAAGTGATCTGTCTATTCTTTAAATGAGACATGGATATTTTTTTTAATGGTCATTACTTTCTTGAGAATATTTATTTTTGCTTCTAATGTTCCAAAATAGCGTCTAAGGATGTTAATGTGGATATAAAAAAATAATTGTATGGCAATGTCAGGTCGATTAAACAAGTTGGCTATCTTGTGGTGCGTTATTTTGATACTACCTCCCACTATTACTGCATCAAATGAGTTTTCGTTCGGTATGGGTTTCTGTACAAATTTAGGTTGTATATAGTTTCTATTATATCCAGGGTCGATAAGTATCTTAAGTACATATCCACTCCCCAGCTTACGTTCAAAATATGAAAGCATGGAGTTCCTTATTCTAAAAAATGCAATGTTGTTTGCTTTACTTGTAATTATTATTGTTATCCTGGTTCTCTATTTTTTCGACGTATTCGTTCAAAGTTTGTTCAAATCAAACTGAGTTTCATAGTGTTCAGAGATAGTTGCGTGAACTTATGAAGTTATCCGTCCAGTTTGTTATTCCTTTACAGCTTCTATGGTGAACATACCTCTGTCTTTTACCGGGGTGTTGCGTTGGGAAAGGAGGTCTTTTACTAGCCGTCTAGTTTGGGTGATAGTGTCAATGTCCATTGGCTCCACATGCGGCAGCGGTTTGGGTACCATAGAGTCGGGTGAGGCAACATACCTTGCCTTCTTTCCGTATAAATAGTCTATAATGTAGTTCGATCACATTAGATTCCTGGTTGCTCAAAATTAAAATTATTATATCTAGATTGTGTATTCCGTGGAGGAACTGGTGGCGGTTGCAGAAAGCTTGTGAAATTGAGCATTCGTGAAGCTGGTATAGGTTTCTGTGTTCTTTTGTCAATATTGCGAAGATTTGCATTACTGTGGTTCCTACCCATAGGATAGGACCCAGTAATCGGGACAAATCTCCACGCAAGCCTCACAAAAATGCGTCCAGAGCTTTATCCCTGTATGACTTTGTCATTACTAACTGCAATTCTCTGTCCAAATCTATAGAAAGAACTTTGTTTAGTATAAATGACAAATGTTTATAAATGGCTTGGTAAAACTCTCTTACCGATTGCTGACTGCTTTGTACTATTGTCGTTATTTGAACATAAAACATCAGGTTATTGTATATTAGTTTAAGGGTACATTATAAGACTCGAGGGAATTATCTGCATGTCCCGTTATCTTATTACGCATAGTGTGTAATACATTTGTCTAACTTTAGCTGACTATTCGTCCCAGTTGGGCCGGGACAGTCCGGATTCCGAGTAAAGCGTCCCGGCGGTCCCGGGCTTAGGAATTAAAAAAAAGAATAAACTAAACTGTGTCCTACGTTCTTGTTCCTCTACAGTAAGTACGCTTAAGCTTTTGTGTTTTCTGGGAGTTCAGTAATGAATTTTGAAATGAAAATATCTTTAGATCTTTTTATTCTTTGCTTTGCACCCTGTTTTGAACGTGTAGCCTCTGTAGAAGGTGTGCCTTGTTACTTATCATCATCAGCCATTTTTGAAATTTCTAATATTTGAGGTGTTTTTGTTTTAACCTCTCTTCATTAGTCAGATTGCATTTTAGAAACACACGTAGTCACTAAAAAATCTGATCTCACAAATAACCCACTGATTTCGCAATTTATTTCCGGTTCGTAATTTTCGATTGCAGTCCATTTTTCAACATCGATTTCAGTTTCCTAAAATACAATATATATGTATGTAGCCGAATCTAAAAAGCAATACATAGCTTTGGAATAACAATTTGCAATAAACTTTGTATGTCGTGGACTTTTCTCTCTCTTTATTTTTCCTTTCTCTCTTTATTTTTCCTGCAATAATTTTCCTCGAAGTAATCACAATGAAATATCATCTTCCTCATCCTCTCTTTGGTTTGGCTCTGTTCCATTGAAGCATTCTAATAAATGCTGGAAGACTTTCTATGCTATTACTTTACCGTCCAGATGATTCCAAGCAAACATTGAAAATGATAATGCATCTTTTAACGTTAAAGCTTTTAAAAACTCAGTGATAACAG